GGCCCCGGCTGCGCCATGCCGGGTGACGTCACGGTCCTTGATTTTAATCTATTCATAAAGGGCTTTTGAACCGCTCTTAGTCTGACCCGTCACCCAGGACCTGTTTGCCTTGGGAGACCCTACCAGGGGCATATAGCCCCCGACAACATAGCTCCTAGGATCACTTGGGTACTCAAACCCCTCCACCACAATAAGGTGATGGCTCAAGGAGGGGTACATCATAATATATTTGCAGAAATTAGTTTGAAGGTGTTGACACTTTGTGATCTCCTCATTGCTGGTGCATTGCTATAGAACACTGCATTACAATCGTCAACTGTCGTTATGCATTAGTGGTCTTTGAAATGACACAATGCAACTTTTGAAAGTATAAACCTGTACAGTCTTTCTCTTAAAAATACTTGGATTCATAAGTAATAGAGTGCTCCTTTGTGCAGTCCAATGCACTTGCTGGTAGTTTGTGGTTTTAACAAACTCTGAACATATATTGCTGTACAGTCAGTTTGCTAATTATGACTCTAATTTGTGCTAATGTTACACTAAGTTTTAAAAACCTTTGTTATGATGCAAGTATGATGTGGCAGCCTTTCAGCACATTACACAGTCTGTCTTTAAAACAAATCTTAGTTGAATTTGGTCTTCTGCACATTTGTTTCACTCCCTCGTCAGCCCCTGTGACAAACGCCTGCCTCTGTCAGCAGCATGTGATGACCCTATTCCTCACTTACACCCTGATCTGAGTCTTTTAATTTTCTGTCAGCATGTTCCAGGTAATCTTTCCCTGTGCTTACTACCTGGTGTTGACAAATGCTACTGAAATGATGACATATGGAGGAAATACCTATTAGTTTACATACAGTATATAAACAACAAAGAAAGTTTCATGTCAGGATGAAAAAAACCTTCCATAACATGTAGATAATTATGCAAGACAAACTTTCTACTGAAATCAGACTAGTATGTAAAATAAGCAGCTCAGTGAGAGTTTGAAAGGTTTAAAATCAAACCAAATGCTGCAGTATCAGGCTGCCACAGCTGACTCAGAAGTTTACTTCCCAGCTTCTACCTGCTTGATGACTGTTTCGCATCCACCACACTGCAACAAGATCTGTACTTTGGAAGAGTATGCTTAACTTTAACCAACCTGTGGGTCTGCACTGAAACCTAAAAATGAACTAGATTATCCATTTTCCATTATCCATTATACTCCCTCACTCAGTGGTGATGTAGAAGGTTTTCCCTGCAGGTCTCAGATTTTCCATATGTCACCTCAGCAGCATATTTTTAATAAGTACAGGATCTGACTCAAGTGAGTGCGTCATTATATCATCAGTTTGGCATTCTCTCTCTGTCCTCTCCTTCATGCCACTGCCTCTCCCCTCCAATTTTCTTTGTTTTTTGATGCACCACCACTCCCTCATCCATTCATCAAATCACCCCTTTCTGCCCCTACACATAATTTCTCATCTCTTTTTTCTTTCATTTCCTTTTACTTCACTTCCCCTCTCTCTTCCTGCCCCCCCTGGACAGATTGAAATGTTCCATGCAACACATGACTCTGTCTATCCTCCTTATGGTGCACAAACACCCTATATGTAAACATAAATGACTATTTAAATATTTGTGTAACTCACGCTATTGGTCAATCCAACACTCAAGAGTTCTTGAGCACTTCTCAATTGCTGACAAGACTGCCATGAAATGTGTACAGTATATGGTGCCTTCTGTCATTCTTGTTTCAGACTAGGAGCACACAAACTATAAACACCAACAACAAGAGAGGGACACACATCAGGAAGAGCAAGAGAGGAGAGGTGTCTCCTCGGCCACAGACAAAGACGACACACACGGTACCATAAGGAAACCTGTCCATTCTGGTAATCCATTCACCAACAGACTTACTAATACAGTTTTTCTGAATTGCTAATACATGTTTCTTGAAACCACCACTCATTTTCTCAAAACCTTAAACACAAATCCAAATACTCAAACTAAATTCACAAAACCTCTGACTCATCTGGCAAAATCAAGCAATTGCTTCAAAACCATTTCACCAGCACTCAAAACCAAACAATGCTTTCAGATCATACACATATGAGTCAATCATATACACACTGCAGCTCAGTCATTAGACACTACATCAAAAAAAGGAGAACACAGCATCCAGGACATGTAGTTACAACAAAAAACGTTTATTGTATAGTGAATTTACCAAAAACCATGTTACAATCAAAGAAGAAGAAGAAGAAGAACCAGCCTTGACAAGACTGCACGTCTATGTCACCACAGGCCAGTTCTATTGCCTGTAAGAGATTTCCCCTGGTATATGGGTTTTGGTCATAGACTTTCCACCGCCATGCTGAGCAAAACTCTTCTGTTGGGTTGAGGACAGTGCTGTATGTTGGAAGGTCTTACTCTTCCTCGTCCTTTTTGTCCAACACTTCATATTCCTCTACCTCTCATATTGTTATCCATAGTTGATGGATGTACTCGTGCCATCTGTGCACTTTGAACTGGCTTATGATTTGTACCTGCTCATCACATAATTAGCACCAAGTGTGAACAATTTTGAATCATTGTGTGTAAATGATGACAACTGTGCTTTAGTTGTGTTTAAGTTCTGCTGTCCTCTGTTTAGTGTTTTGCAACACAGGTTCATCACAGTGCAAATTGTGTTTTAGTGAGAATGTGTTTAGAGTTTAGCAAAAAGAGTGCATGAGATTTGCAAACAGAGTCTAAGTGCCTGAACTTGTTTAAGGTTTTGCAGAAAGAGTGATTTATTCAACAAATTGGTTTAGGCTATTGAGAATTTGGTTCAGAGAATGGGGTTTATTGTTTTAGCAATTGTGAAAAACTGTAAGTGGCCTGCCTACAGCACCAGGTAAACTAAACTAGACACCCATATAGTTTCCATACTTTACTTCCTAATCAGCCAAGCTGACCTGCACAGTGCCAGCTGGCTGAGTACATGCCATATTTAATTAATGGCTCATGTGGTAACTAAACAAACCACCACATGTACAACAGCATCATAAATAATATAGACCAGTAATCAGTGTTTTCACACACTTTTGTAGTGACTGATTCCAAACAGAAAACAGGTTATTTACTGCTACCAGTTAGATTATCAGCTACACTCCAGTTAACTGGGTCTCCCCACCTTTAATGCTACACAATGGCCTGTATACTTACCTGCATTCCCACGATGCCCATTAGACAAAGAATATTTTAGATAGTATTTCTAGTAATAAAATGCATGTGGGGACTCACTGGCCTCCCAGCAGGAGTTCCATAGTAGCCACCCAGATTTTCAGTCTGTTTCCCTCCATCCATCCCCTTCTCCTCCTCCTGCCCTCTGTGTTTTTCTCTTTCTCTCTACAAATTTCATAGAGCGAGAGAGCAATAAATGGAGGGAAGGAGAAAGTGGAGTGCAGAGCGAGAGGGAAGTGATAAATCATCCTTCACCTTCTGAGTTTGGGTTTTGTTGTTGCTCTCCCCGATCATGATGAATCGCTATCCTCCAAGAAAAGAATGTACAAAAACAAAAACAAAAAAAGTGAAAGTAATAAAATAAAATAGGAAATAGAATCAGAAGGCTATTCCACTCTTTCTTTTGCTCTTTATCCAAAAAGAAAAAGCCTCACTCGGGCGGGCACTCGCTCTCAGGGATGATGAGCTGGAGTGAGTGAGAGACCAGAGAGAGGTTTTCTGTTCTTCCTGGGAGTTTATGAGCTGTGAAGAGCTTTCAGAGAAGCTGGAAATATTGCTGCAGTCATTCATCACTCTTTCAGGATCCTCCACCAGTCACCCCTCTTTTCATCTCTTTTGTCATTAATTATCAAAAGTTGTCTCAAATATTATTTGTGACTCTGCTGCTATTTGAATATTGACTTTTAGCAGTTTTATTTGTTTATTAATTGCTCACAGGTAATATTTCATGTGAAAGTCAGCATCTGTAAAAAAAATATTAATAATAATAATCCACTTGTCTGTCGGACTGCTGTTTCCTGTTCCTGCGGTAAATGTATTCACTTCCTGTCTGCTGTCCCTGTACCACGTTGTGCTTGCCACCAGTGTTCACGGATTAAGCTCACTAATTCCTGGGTTTGTTTGAACATCAGTAAATTATTTCAGTCACAACATACAGTATGTCTGCACTACTTAAGCACCTGTGTTACAGGTTACAGACGTACTTGCTAATTACCACATTTAACTTGCTACTAGCTTAGAAGATAGCTAAGCTAGTATCTTAGGGAGCAATGGCTTCCCCCTCTTCCTCTCCTCCTTTCTCTTGCTCGGAGTGTCGCAAGTTCAGTTATTCCTCTGCCTCCTTTAGTGATAATGGTACTTGTAATGAATGTCAGACGCTAGCAGCATTGGAGGCGAGGCTCACAGACTTAGAAGCGCGGCTCCGCACCATGGAAAACAGCGCAGCTAGCTATGCCCACGTACCCGGTGTAGAGCCTCCTAGACGTACCTTAGCTCAAGCTAGCCGCCCCCAGCGCTTCCCGAGCAGCCGGGATCTCAGGCAGGTGGCTGGGTGACAGTTCGCAAGAGCTCAAGACAAACGCCCACGGAGCCTCGCCTGCCTGTTCCAATTCAAATCAATTTCCCCCAGTCAGCAACACTCAGCAACGCACCCACTGAGAAAACAACTCTGGTAATCGGAGACTCCATAGTCAGAAACGTGAAGCTAGAGACACCGGCGGCCATAATCAAATGTATTCCTGGGGCCAGAGCGGGCGACATTGGATCCTTTTTGAAGCTGCTGACTAAGGATAAGGTAAGGTTGTTATTCACGTCTCCGATAATGACTCCCGACTTCGCCAGTTGGTAGGTCACTAATATTAATGTTGAGTCTGTGTGTAACAGTAACAATGTCAGACTAGTTTTCTCTGGGCCCCTGCCCAATGTGACCAGTAACGACATGTTTAGCAGCCTTCTACAGTTTTGATAAATGAGAAGAAAAAACAGAAAGTGAATGTGTCATTGACTAAAACACAATAAACAGTTTTAACTATGGGACCTTTTCAGAATAGGCTTTAAATTGGTCTGTTTTATATTAACATAAAGTATTTTATCTAGTGAATTATTAAAGTAAACCAAAAAGCTACATCAGATTTTGGCCTAACACTAATTCTGAGAATGATGCCTACAATTTGTTTACATCTATCGACCTGCACTTAAAAACTTATCAAACTGTAAATGTGATGAAGTGTTCTTGTCAATGTAATTAAGGACCAGTAGGCTGCTAGTTGGACTCACTGAATTTATAGTTTCCAAATGTTATCTGTGTGTTCAAAGTAAAACTGACTGGTTTTGAAATGTTGCTATTTTATTTTGACAGTTTAATTTAGCATCCTAAACTTGGCTCTCAGTAGCACTGAAGCATTAAAGTTTTCAGTTCCATGAACTCTTCTGATGGTGTAATGCTGTTGTCTGACTGTGCAAACCTCCACAAACAGGTCTCGGTTTGCTCCATTTTGTCCATTAGCTCACCATGATGAAGGACACAGCAGGCTGTTGTAGATATACAGCTCACATGCTCTCTCTGTGGTTACACACATGCAGATTTAGTTTATTAAACTGATGGGGCCTTGTGCTGCTGAATGTTTAGCTATGGTGTAAACAGAGCAAAGTACAGAGGCACACATCCACAGATATGACAGCAGCTTAATAAGGGTTAACACTATGAGTGCATGAAATTGAATGAATGAATTTTAATGCCTTCACAGTAGATAAATAATAGCAACTAGGTAGAAGATCGATGTGTGAATAAGCTGAGGAATGACTGACTGAAATTAATGAAGTGTCCTGGGCATTAAGTGACTTGCTAAATGAGTCAGTGAATGAATGCATGCATGGATAATGTGGTAGTGCATTGGTAATTACATAATCAAACTGGACATTGTACTGCATTAGCTCGTTAATATTTTTGATTCAAGGACTGAATGAATTAATGAGTGAATGCACTGAATGATTTAGATGTGTTCGATGGATCAGGTAAGTATGAATTAATTACATAATGAATTATTAGTGTACAAATGATAATCTGCTGCAACAAGTTACCACCAGGCTAGTTTTCTGAACTAACAATTATTCACTGAATGAAGAATGATTCTTGGCAGCAGCTCCTTAGGGAAGAACTAGACAGTGGGTCTTCACTAAGATGTATCCATTTAATTGCATTCAATAATGCCATTGCCAGTGAGTTATGTTTTCTGTCATTAAAACTAAGTTGACTTGAGCAAAAGGTGGAAGCTGGGTTCAGCTGGAGATTCATGAAACTGAAAGTGGAGCAGGGCTTTGTGTGGCCAGTGTTGGAGAAGCCAGACGATGCTTTGTGGCATCAGGCAGGTCTGTTGGGAAAGGTGATGAATGATGGACAAAATATCACCTTTTTAACCTCTTAATTATGTTTCCTCAACCTGTCTGTCTGCCTCTAAAGGGCCCAGGGCCTCATCTGCAGGCAACCTGGCGCCTCTGCTCTCTCTCCCCAACATGCATATACTGTACTGTATGTCAGCACTTAGCTCTGTGTGTTTCCTTCAGGATGTAACCCCAATAAACATTTAATTTGTCACAGACCCATGAGGATGCATGCAAATGGGGAAATAATGTTTATGGTGGAAATGGGCTGTAATGTTCCAAGGATGTAATTTTTTTTATTTATTAATGTTTAGCTTAAACTAATTGCAAGATGTAACGTTTGCAATGAAATAAATGGGGAAAAAGAGGAATTTAAAACCAAGATTATGGTGATACATGAAGCTGCAATGATCAAGCTTAAGAACAGACATAACTGCTCCTCTTTATGCTAGCCTCGGGCATGCTAAACACCAAGAGGCTATCCATGCTTTGCATGTCTGCATGTCCACTAAGGTCTAGTGGAGTAATAATGTTCATCACCTTCTCTGTATATATCCCTATGCAGGTCAAAACTTTGTGTCTGCACAAACAGACAGCACTGCAACGGCCCTGGCTTCATGTGTACTACAGTGCTTGGAAACTGTAGAACAGGGACAGAAGGCACACCCTCGATTTGAAGTATGAATAGGAGGGCATGCCCAAAGCAGATCTGTCCCTTAACACCCTAAGGTGAGCATGACAGACAACCTGGCAAGGAGCATGGGGGGAAACCTGGGACAACTGAGACTAGATGGATAATGACAGTTTCTCAAAAAGTCTGGATGGAACAGATCCAGGGGAAACACAGCGCAGAGACAAAACCTGGGCTGGCATTGTGACAGCATGCTGGACATTTTATAACTTCTATTACACAATTATTTTTGAGGCATAGTCAAGCAACAGCTCCTTGGAGTGACTGATTCACCAGAATAAATACAGAAAATCATCAAATATTTCAGCTGTCACAGCAGGTACAGACAGTTAAGAGACATCAGTTTCCTTCATGAGGCAGATTCGTCAAATTGTTCTGTGCTGTACACAGAGAACTGACAGAATTCTGTCTCAAAACAATGTTTATCATCTGCGACTAGAACAGGAACCAGAGTGCAGCCAGGCAGGAAGCTCAGCAGCCAGCCAATTAGCCTGCCGTTCAGTCAGCACTAGGACTAAGAGTGCAGTCGCATTTCACTTTGATTGAAGACAGGGGAAAAGTATCAAGAAGTTTGTGCATCAACCCTCATCTTATCTTTCTCCACACTGTCGAGCTTGGTCGTAAACTTGTACAGTCAAGTCAAGTCACATTTTATTTCTATAGCTAATATCACAAATCAAGTAGCTTTAGAATCTGTGATCATAAAATCTTCAAATTTCACTGAGTCTCTTCTTTATATAGATTTATATTTTGTGCGTCTTTATTTGATAGCAAACAACAGGAAATTAAGGGAAACAGATGTGGAATGATTCAAACAAGGTTCCTGGGATGCTGCAGTTCATGGTTGATGCTTAATAAAATACTGTACTTTACTGATGGTATAAACCAAAGCAGACTACAAGGTGTATAATGGTAAACATCAGGTAGCGTGGACTAATGCTGACTGTGAAGTATGACAGTCTTGCCTGTTGTACTTGTGCTTGATAGCGCACACCAGATACATAGGACACAGTGATCGTATGCATCAATGCTAATCCAGTGGTGACTCTACAAACAACCAGTACATTCAAGTAACCTCCCTCTAACCCTTTACTAACTCAGGCCAACCACAATAAAACAGGCAGTAAGACGATCAGTCATCCAGTACAACTAATTAACCACCCAACCAGTTAGATATTCAATTATTATTTTATTTTTTAAATGAAATAAATGTATCAAATGACAATGTGAAAGCAATGTGACACTGTGAAAGGAGTTGGTCATGGTGATGAACCCACAGAGAATTATCACACAAATCTGCAGCTCCCCTTGGATACACAGAGCTTTTTAGTGAGCTTCACGTCCTTGTGTAGCTCTGTTGGACACAACCTCACTGATCTCACAGTGCTGCTTTTGGCCACAGGAGGAAGTGACTGTCTTCTGAGAAGACACAAAAATCCACCATCCTCAACCTGCTCAGCAGCAAACAGCAGACAGACACAAACTAGCTGGTGAACACAGAGGATGATTTAGCAGGTGGGGAAGACCAGAAAATAGAGCACAAAGAGTAAAAATATTGGACTGATATTCCACTGGTGAAGGATGACAGTGGATGTGTAAATAAGTGACAATCTGAAAACAAGTTCACCAGGTCACCTTAAAATATAATGCAAGAATTATACCATAAGGGTGAGAGATATAAATGACCCAAATGTAACCAATCAACCAGTGTGTCAGCCGGTAAAACAAGAATATAAGCACAGACCAACAACAACTGAACTAACCAACCATTTGTGAGTTGGAACATCTCCAACTCACAAATGGTTGTGGTGTGGATGTGGACTGAGCAAACCTACCACCTAATGCTCACACACACTGCCATAAGACCAGTATCTGTAATTCAGAACATCTGCCGCAGCGACTGATTGTTTATTAAGCCTAGAATGATGACAGCATCTCTAATGACCTGGACACACTTCGCCAGTCGGAGGTCACTAAGATTAATGTTGAGTCGGTGTGTAACTTCGCTAAAACAATGTCGGACTCCGTAGTTTTCTCTGGACCCCTACCCAATGTGACCAGTGATGACATGTTTAGCTGCATGTCGTCATTCAACCGCTGGCTGTCTAGGTGGTTCCCAGAAAATAACGTGGGCTTCATAGACAACTGGAAAACATTTTGGGGAAAACCTGGTCTGATTAGCAGAGACGGCATCCATCCCACTTTGGGTGGTGAGGCTCTCTTATCTAGAAATCTGGATGAGTTTGTTTTACAACCTAAATTATGACAACCCAGATTTGAGTCCAGGATGCAGGGTCGCAGTCTTACATGCCTCTCTGCTGTCTCCCTGCAGCTGCTACCCACCCAACGCTCCCAGTACCCCATAGAGACTGTGTCTGCCCCCCACCCACCTAAATTATATAAATCAAG